GTAATTTTTTATTTGTCCAAATATGGATAAATAAAATTATACCACAAATTAGAGCGAATACTATGAAATAATTTTAAAAAAAAAGAAGAAGAAAATAATGGGGAACAAAAAGGAAAAGGGATAACTTGGAAGCAGAGCATCATAGAGGGAGCAGAAGCAGAAAATCTACACGTGCACATGTGGCACGAAAATCTACTACCCAACGCTTCTTCACATTTCTTTTCTCTATACTACTTTTTTTTTTTTTTCTATCTTATATTATTTCAGACTTGATGTTAGGTTATTAATTTATTTTTTTCATTTCAAATTTTACCTTACATATTTTGTAATTAATTTAACATAACCGTTTATTTACAACTTGTTTAGATTGTTATTACATGTCGTTTCATAATATACCATATTGTATTGTACGGCGTTGCATTGTATTATATTGTTTCATGAATATCATGTTTGGATAGATTGTATCGTTTGCTGTCGTTTCATGATGTCACGCACTAACAATACGAAGAATAAACTTGTAACATTACTAAGAAAAAATAGGACACGGAGTAGAATTATTATATAAAAAGTAAGATAAAGTATAAAATATGATTATGTAATAACGAAGAAGGGCAAGATGAGAGGAAAAACGCAAAAAAATGACACCACCATACCAAATCTGCCGTCTCATAAAGTAACACTTTTCGTCGTTTCATAACAATGGATATAACGATACGATACAATAAAATTAAACTAACAATCAAAACAAACATTATATTTAAAATAACAATACAATACCATACGATAGGTAACAACCATCCAAACAAGTTGTTAACGTATTTTCCTAATCTACGCGATATGCCCATTGAAACATCAGTTAACACCATATACAATTAAAATATTTATTTTACTCTGTATACCTACTTTATAAAATTATTTTACCATGTATACCTACTGTATTCTAAAATATAATACTGTATATTCCAAATTAGAATANTAGTTAATTTTTTTTTGGTTGTATTAACTACATTTAATTGGTACACAATTTGATTTTTCTTTAGTAATAATATAAAGAAAATAATAATAAAAAATAGTAAAAACACTAAATGAAATTAGATTATGAAGAGAAAAAGAATATAAAAAAGCAGAAGTTAAATAAAATTAGAAAAGAAAAAAAGAAAAAAAATAAGAAGAAAACGAGAAAAAAAAGGAGAAAAGAAAAAAAAAGAAACATAGAAATAAAAAAGAATTGGAGAATAAAGAAAAAATTCCCCACAAAATCTACTATGGGTAGAAAATGTAATTAGTTTATGGGTAGAAAAATAAATGGATAGACAAGAATAAATAGTTTTGTTTTTGTGGGTAACTGTGTCAAAACCCCTAAAAAATTAAACTGTAAATTCTACCGGCTATTTGGGTAAAGATCCCTTGCTTAGAAGGACTTAAGCCCAATGGGTTTCACTTAGAGACCCAAAATTCCTCTAGAACTGACCATACGCGGACCCAAATTTCGACACCGGATATCAAATTACACCCTCAGCGGCGAGCTCCTCCGGTCAAATCCTTACCGGCGATAGCAGATGTAAGTTCTCTCCCTTTCCCTCTATGTTTCATAAGTCCAAAAAAAAGCCTTAATTCCCTTTCTCTAATGCTTTGTTTTCTACCCTCTTCGTTTACAGAAAGTGTATTTGACTTCTGAGATAATATTTCAGATAATATATATAAATTAGTATAGAAATAGTGTATAATGGTTAAACTGTGTACTTAATGAATCAGGATAGAAATATTATCAAATGATTAAGCCTTGTAGCAAAGACATTGAATTAACGGTCGTCTGGTTCACATACTCATTATACATCAACAACAGAACAAACTCAGTTTAATCGGAGAGGGTAGTGTGTATGCATACCTTACTCCTAACTTGTGAAGGTAGAGAGACTGTTTCGGATACACCTTAAGCATAGTCTCAGTAGTGTTGGTTCACATACTCAGTTATGCGGGGATTATAATGCAGGGATTCTTTAGGCGGGATTAATAATGAAAGAATTGTAAGCAGTGATTAATAACGAGGAGATTGTTATACATGAATTATTTATTTTAAAAGGGCATTTTTATCTTTAAATTGTTTAATCACCGCTTTACTAATACATGAATTCATATTCCACGTTCTATCACGCATAAAATAAGACATAGATTTTCGCATAACTTAATGCATGTATTATTTGATACCGCCAAACCAAACGCGGGATTTGTTATGCGGTGATATTTTTTTCTTACATGGCCAACCAAACACTGTATTATCTTATGTGGGATTTTATGCTAGGATTACTTATTCCAAACCATCTGCAAAATGACCCCTAAGTAGATCATTTTGGTGGTCCAATTTCATAATTTTGACCTTTGAATTATCTTGATACAACAAACGGTATAATATAATACTAATGTCATTTGTCAAGGTAGTAGTTATAACCTGTCTTATTATTTTCAGATTGTGTGTGTTCATGTTGCTTGTCCTGTTATTGCAGCACAGACTAGGTGCTTGTTCTTGCTACAATGCCTTGCAAATGAGTAGCTGAAGAAAGTCAGCTTTTTATTGTGATGTAAATACGTGTAATTCTTGGAATAGATGGATTCTACATCGAAGCACTCTCCCTTTTGCTTAAAATGGCCATGGGATGTCCATAACCAAAACCCTAAAACCCATCTGCCTTGTACCTTTGAAACACCCTGGTTATTCAAACCATTCAAGAATATTGGCTCTGGAGTGTTTAATTTCATCCAAAATATATCAAAACCCCAACCTTTATCATCCAAATTCCATTTCCAGTCGAATGGTGGAGTTGGCCAAAACACTACCTTGAAGTTGATGAAGAAGAAATTGACTCCTGCAGACCAAGCGGAGGCCGAGCAGAGTGCGTTAGCATCTGCCTTGGCCAGTGGAAAGGAGGGTACTGTAATTGAATTTTACTCCCCCAAGTGCCGGCTCTGCAATTCTTTGGTTAATTTCGTGAACGAGGTTGAGAACAGGAACACTGACTGGCTCAACATTGTTATGGTTGATGCAGAGAATGACCAATGGTTGCCTGAGGTACTCTTAAGTCTTAATACTCTATGCATTGTATTCTTCTGCAAGTCTGTTTATATATATATTGTTGTTGGACGGATGTGTATTAGATTTTGCATACTCTAAGAATTGAGAGGGGCCTCGTTCTTTTGTTGCTTGGTTGTTGATATGGTTCTTTTCTTCTTTCTGTATTGAAAGGTTATTTATGGCGATACTTGATGATCTTGGAATAGTGTTGTTAATTCAAAACTAGATATGTGTTGAATGCACTCAGTACTGAGTATTGGACTCTTTTCCTATGTTAAGTTACCTTCATGAATCAATTGATCAGGATTTAGTGCAATCTGGGCATTGCATTGGTCTGATAAATTGTTTAAGACAACATATCTTTTCAATGTGTTACGAAAAACTGCAAGATATTGTCAGCAAAGAATTGAAATTAAATGGTCATCCTTCAATTGGCAAGGTAATAGGCAGAAAGACTTTTAACAGATTAGGCTTTATGCTTCAAGTTCGCTAGATCTCTGTCTTTTGAAGTTTTTTCAGTGTAACAGCTTATAGCATTCATTCTAAGTGGAGCTTAAAAGCATTACAAAGTCCTTTGCAGCTTCTATTGTGTTGAGATTGGTTACTCTGTGGCGACTGCTTAATATAATTGAAAGTCACTCTGTGGTGATAGCTAAGTCTCTGTGGTGATAGCTAAGTTTAAGTACACTTTTAAAAAGGAGGAGAAGTCGAGATGAAGTAATCAAATCGAAGAAGAATTGTTTCTGCTATTTGATTGGTCCAGTCAGTTTGTGAATTGCCTTTGGGGTAATCCATATACTTCATGTTGAAAATGATTTTACTTTTCACTCTTTTGGCTAGTTTGATCGACTTCTTTCTGTTTGTAAATTCAGCTTCTCCATTATGACATAAAGTATGTTCCTTGCTTCGTTCTACTGGACAAATACGGGAGGGCACTTGCAAAGACGGGTGTTCCAAGCAGCCGACTGCATGTTGTGGCTGGTATTTCTCATCTCCTTAAAATGAAACGTCCACAACACAAATAGCGTGCATATGGTTGATACAGCAACAGACAAGAGTGTTGGCTTGTCACAATACATTGCATGTAACAGTTTTTAGCTGTAGGGGTCGACAGGTTGGAGCAAGTAATGTAGTAGTTATCAAGTGCAAGATCTTTACTTGCGTTTGTTATAGTTTCGTAATCCATTTTGGAGATCCTGTTGTATGAATCCCCTGAAAAGTTAAGGGAAAAGAAGGATAATTCAGCTGACTTCTGTATTTCATGCCTAGGAGTTCCCATGAATTTGCTTGCAGTTATTATACTGGCGGTGTAATTTACATTTTGACAGTACCAGTTATGCTTATATATAACCTTCTTCTATTGATTTACTCCTAGTAATGTCCAATATATGGTACATTTTTGTTATTTTCGTGTTCTCTGTTTGCAATATTTGCTTCCCATTGGTGTACTTACGAAACCTTCACTTTCTACTAATAAGCTCTTTTTCCTTTTTCTTTCCTTTTTATATTTTTAAATTTAAACAGTCCCACCATCTCATTAGACAGACTCTATGTTATTCCTGGGACGTGTTTGACTCTGAATGATATGTAAGAAAGAAACGAAAACCTTTGAACCTTGTATAGACATTTGTGTGGCCATAAATCATCTCATTAAGGGTAATGTTATATTAAATTTTCTCTAAATAAGGATCAATTTATATTGAGTGACTGTCTCCATTATGTTGTTGCTAGCAAATACCACTTCTAAAAAAGTAAAGTATAATGCATAAATTGAGACAGAAAAAGTATACTCCCTCTATTTCAATTTAGATGACAAACTTTCCTTATTAGTCTGTTTCAAAAAGAATGGCACATTTCTATAATTGGAAATAATTCAACTTTAAACTCTTCATTTTATCCATTTTACCCTTAATGAGAAGCTTTTATAATCACACAAGTGTTATGGCGCCACAAAAAAATTTCCCTTAAACTTTTAAGACCACAAATTTTTAAAATCTTTTTTTTTTTTCTTAAACTTCGTGTCGAGTCAAACTAATTCATAAAGTGAAACGAAGGAAGTATTAAAACACGACGTGGAACTTTGATTCGTCCGGAGACAGGAGGTTGCTGTCAAAATTAAAGCTACCCATGGCGTATTTCATCCGTTGTTGTTGTTCAACCACACTTAGAAGAACTCCTTAAACTTTTTTATTGGTATTCAGGGAGAATATTATTTTACTCCATAATTTTTACCCTTTCAAAAACATGAGTTGTAGATGAACAACTTATTATTATTATTTTTTTTTTTTGAGTAATTTGGTGCATGAACAATTAATTGTTTATATACACCACTTGTCTACAAAAGCTAAGGGCCCAATCAGTGATTGTGGGTAAAATTTAGTATATTTACACTCCTATTGCAAGGCCTGGTCATACTATGCCCCGCATATATTAATCAAAAACCATTTGTATAATGGCATATAATCACAAAATCTAGCACAACGTGTAATTCGTAAACTTTTAGCTTTTCTGGTTAAGATGACTACAACAAGGTTTAGCTTAAAAATATATACTATCAACTAGTATATATATATATAAGTTAAATTCATTTGTACATAATTCAAAAAAATATCTTTATTATTTCTTTCCTTATTATAGTTGTCAATTTGTCTTCTAAAGAGTAAATATTGCTGCCAGTTGACCTAAGGCTGTATGTGGTCCCGGGCCCGGGCCTAAATGGGCTAAACGGGCCGGGCTAAACGGGCCTGGGCTTCGCGGTCCCGGGCTCTGGCGGTCCCGGGCTTCGCGGTCCCGGGCTTCGTGGGCTCAACGGGTAGGACCAGCCCGTGACGGGCCTAAGCCCATATGGTCCTGGGCTAAATGGGCCGGGCTCGTGGGCTTAGCGGGCCTAACGGGCTTTTTTTATTTCCGGGCTTTTTTTTTTAATTTTTTTTATTTAGGGCAATTTCTTGTAAACCATATATATATAAATTGCTCTTATGCATGGCTATATAAATATATGTGGTATATATAATATAGAAATCTAATTATTAAAGTGTTTGACGAAAATGTAAAATAACAAATCAATAGTAAAAGTTTTAAAATGTAAAATAACAAATCAACTGTAAAACTAAATTGGCATGCATAATAAATTAATAACAAAGTACAACATGAAGCATAAATACGTCTAATAATTTTAAAATAACATAAATTGTTGAAAAATCTTAAAGACGAATTTGCGGATAAATACCCTCAACACAATACTTTATATGCCTCCTTAAAATGCCTGTGGTACACCCTGAACGAAAATTTAAGACTCTTCCACAGTTCTTGCACTTTAATATTTGGCCTTCTTCATTTTCTTCAAGCACTTCATAGTATTGCGACACAAATAAGCGCACTCTTTCCGAACGAGGCATGATTTAACTTGAAAATTGAGATTGAGACTTGAAGTCTTGAAAATTGGAGATTAAGAGATTGAGAGAAATTTAGATTGAGAAATGAGTATTGAGTATTGAAATGAAGAAGAGGGAGGGGGGTACTTATAGTGTTAGAGAAGGTTAGTTTTGTAAATTTAAAAAAAAACGGCTATTTGTGCAATTAATATGACCGTTGGTGGTCATTGGGGGTGGGGCCCTCATTTTGAAAAATCTTGTTTTGTAGTATATATAGTACTACTTCTTCATGTAAATATAATATATATAGTATACTAGTATAGTATACTAGTATAGTGTACTATATATTGTATGTTATGTATATATATTCCCTTATGTATTTTCTTGTAGTATATATTGTATGTTATGTATATATATTCCCTTATATATTTTCTTGTAGTATATATTGTATGTTATGTATATATATTCCATTATATAATTTGTTGTAGTATAAATTGTATGTTATGTATATATATTCCCTTATATATTTTCTTGTAGTATATATTGTATGTTATGTATATATATTCCATTATATAATTTGTTGTAGTATATATTGTATGTTATGTATATATATTATACCTTATATATTTTCTTGTAGTATATATTGTATGTTATGTATATATATTCCATTATATAATTTGTTGTAGTATAAATTGTATGTTATGTATATATTCCCTTATATATTTTCTTGTAGTATATATTGTATGTTATGTATATATATTCCATTATATAATTTGTTGTAGTATAAATTGTATGTTATGTATATATTCCCTTATATATTTTCTTGTAGTATATATTGTATGTTATGTATATATATTCCATTATATAATTTGTTGTAGTATATATTGTATGTTATGTATATATATTCCCTTATATATTTTCTTGTAGTATATATTGTATGTTATGTATATATATTCCATTATATAATTTGTTGTAGTATAAATTGTATGTTATGTATATATATTCCCTTATATATTTTCTTGTAGTATATATTGTATGTTATGTATATATATTCCATTATATAATTTGTTGTAGTATATATTGTATGTGATGTATATATATTATACCTTATAAATAATTGCCAGTTAAAGACAAAAAAATATTGCGAAGAGATATTCAAGGCCAAGGGTATGTTTTATAATTTTTATTACCAAAAATGTATCTTTCTTAATCTTCTTCCCCCCAATGGAATGAGCACAACAAGGTACTAATACCACCATTAAAAGGAAAAAAAACTAAAGAAGATATGCCAAAGTACAAGTTACACCATAATCTACATTGTATCTCTAACAAATCTCATAAATCCTTCAAGGTTCGGAGGAGGTTCCGTTGGTGGTGGCGGAAAAGAAGCTTGTTCATCACCGCTTCCGGGCGAAGCAGCATCCTCCGCAAGTTCCGCTATCATTTCTTCATAAGCTTCGTCTATCTCCGGTTGTGATTCTGCAAGTCCAAAGTTTCTTCTTTCCGAGCGGATCCAATCTCTGAATAGTACTGATTTTTCCAAGCTCTCCCTCATAGACGCTCTATGATCACCTATTTGAAGTCTTGCTTGACTGAAAGCGCTCTCTGATGCAACCGTTGAAGCTTGAATAGATAAAATATCCCGAGCCATCCTTGCAAGAACCGGAAAATGTTTTTCCCTTGTCTTCCACCATTCCAAAAGATCAAAGGTGCCGTCTGGATTCTCCTTTTCAAGTCCCTGCGACAAATAAATTTGAAGCTCATTTAGATGTGAAGTCTCATCAAAATTATCACCTTGAGAACCCCTAAACTCCGTCCAAGATTTAAGTGCTTGTAGGCCCGCAGCTCTTTTAGATGATTGTGAACTAGACGAAGTAGGGGTTGGAATATTTGGCCTAGCATGATCTAACGCAAGTTGGTAAGCATTATAAATTGTTTGCGCATTTATTTTAATTGAGGCTTTTGCCTCTGCAAGTGTAGAAAATTCCTCAACTGAAAGATCTAAAGCCTTATAAATATTTGTGTACCAAAAGTGAGGACCTCCTAATTTCATTGTTGGATTTAACAATGCAGCAACACCATAAATAGGGGGGATAGGGAAAAAATATTTTTTAAACTTTTCTTTCATTGCATTTATAGCAAGTTGATAAATTTCCCCACCCTCCGAAAATTCAAAAAACAAATCACATAGTGCTGCAATATAAACTAAACAATTTGAAATAGTAGGATAATATTGTCCAGAAAATGCATTTGTAGCAATTTGAAAATGTTCTAAAAAATCTATAAGAATTTTGACATTCGTCCAATCTTGATTTGTAAGGATTTCATCATCATCCTCACCACCAACACGAGCATTAAACGTTGCATTAATTGGGTTTCTATATTCATATGCAATTACTAAACTTTCGTACATATAATTCCATCTAGTTGGACAAGGTTTAGGAACCTTTCTTTCTCTAAGGCCAAATTCATCACATTTTTTAAAATACTCTCTAAGTCTACTTCTATGGTTTGAATAAAAAAGCCAATTAAGAGCCATTCTAACCTTTTCAATTTCTAAATTTAAAATTCTCATACCATCACCGACGATTAAATGGTAAATGTGACAAATACATCTCACATGGAAACAATTACTAAATGCAGGATTTAGTGTTGTTGTAAGTATGCCTATAGCACTAGTGTTACTAGAAGCATTATCCATAGAAATTGCAATTATTTTATCTCTAATGCAAAAATATCTACAAATATCTGCAACGGTGTTAGCAATAAACTTAACCTGTGTGACAGTTAGATAATCACAGTCATTATTACTTCTACCAATATCAGTAGTAATAGAAATTCGATTAGTTATATGAGTAAATAAATACCGCAAATATTGTTCATATTCATGTTTATATTTATAAATATCGCTCTTAACTGTTGCGCGAGGCCAACCTTTATAAGTAGGATTAAAAACTTTTCTAATATAATGCACAAAATTAGGGTTAGAAGGAAAAT